GAGATGAGACGGCCCCGATGTTTGACATTGGCATCGTAGCCCTCTGCCTGCTTGGCTAAAATAGGAGGGACTTTGGGGAGTTGTGGCATGATGGCCCTCAGTTATGCTGCTTGCAGGTGCCTATGATACGATAGACATCGCCAAGCCTGTAGTGTAGGCACTTGGTCAGAAGCTTGTAGGGAGGTGAGTTGGTTGAGAGAATGGGCAAGTTCGTATAGAGGTCCTAACCAAGAAACTGGGCGGATCAACGAGTCAGAACGCCATTTGTAATCGATGATAATGATGAAGACAGACAGTGATGACGGCTGGGATTGCTTCTAGACAATGCCGAACAAAGACCCACACGGAGCCGATTACATTGGGCTGCCAGATGAACTGTGTGAAGATTGGCTGGAGTTTGAGTGTACGGATATTCGTTCGCAGTACTCTGTAGAGTGGTACGGATAGTGTAGTGTATCCGTATGAAGGTAGGATGGGCACAGCGTGGAGTGCCCTGATATCTGATGGGAGTGATTGGCGGTGGGGTGAGGGAGGGGTGGGAATGGCTCGAGATCCATGCTTGTGTGGAGACGGTTCGAGTCGAGAAGGTCATTGATAGATGCGGTGAGGTCGATATTGGTGGCATGGGTACTGGTGCCGTAGACAACAGGTGATGGCTGGGAACAATGCCAATGTCTGCCTCCATGAACGACGACTGGTCGTATTCGAGGGTGTTTGCTTCGTTCTGCCTAAGTGAAAAATGGCAGGGCATCTCCAGGATAGCACCGTGATGGCGGAGCGAGCCAAAGGGGCGGCGATTGAGTGACGGTCTGTCCGTCCGTCTGTCTGGGCTGGGAAGTCGCCCCAGGGTGAGGCGGGAGTGGATTGGTGGGACCGAACTGGAGTTGACGATGGAGATGCAGCAAGGCATGGGGTTCGAGCTTGGAGCTTCGAAATTTGCCTCGATAGAGGTACAGGTGGAAGGGTGCGGGTAGTGCAGACTGCGGTCTAACAACGGTGTAGATGTGATGTTGTGGATAGGGGCCACTCGGAGACATCGTCTGTCGTCTGGCCGAATGAGACGAGTAGATGAGAGGACGGGAGCTGCAGCGCCATGACACTGACATGCCGCGCGACGACAACTCGATAGATGTGGACTGTAACGTGAATGCAACAGCAACCCAAGGCAAAAGGCAAGAGGAAGTGATGGATGATGCAACTACCCAACATGCCAATGTACAGAGTATCCTATGCGCCTACCTACCTACCTACCTACCTAGGTACTCTCCCGTGCCTACCTTACCTTACCTAATTGTACTCCCGTCTCTTTCGGTTCCAGGTTTACCAAGGTAAGGTTCCCTCTACACACCTTCCTTGTACGTCGTTGTCACTGTCTTAGAGGCAGGCGTGGTACCATCCTATGTTGGTACAGGTAACCTACTACCTTGCGTGCTTGCCTTAGTAACCATACAGGAGGCTGCTGACTGAGATGGACGGGAAAGAGTGGTGAGTGCGTGCTTCTCTTTCTAAATTTGTCGGATGCCATTTGAGAGAGAGAGAGAGAGAGAGAGAGAGAGAGAGAGAGAGCGTGTGTGTGTGTGTGTGTGTGGTGTCTTGCCGTCTTGACACACACAAGACTGCACTGCTGCAGACCAAGGTACCTTCCTGGGTATCTCTGTGCCGCCTGGTCTCTGCAGTTCGTCGCCATTGGGCCATGTTCAGCCTGAGGTCCGAGGTTCGTCAGGTACGTATCGCTGGAATCCACTGTGGTCCATTCCCCAGTGCCAATCCCACCCTCGCTCCTGCCTTCCCGTGTGTGGTAGGCAGGTGCAGGGCCAGCAGGGCTCAATTGCACACCCTCTTGACGACACACCCCTTCACTTTGTGGACGTCTAGGTGTGTCGATAATACTTTTCCGCTCTACAAGTATGGACGCCCTCAGGTCTTCTACTCAATCTTCTCCTTCTTCCTCCTTGCCCTACCGAGCAGCCCCTGTCTCCAGGCTCGGACCTTCTTTCCATCCAATTACCATACACTGACGCTCTATCCGAACATTCATACCTAGAGAAGAAGAAGAAGAAGAAGAAGAAGAGCGACTGTCTTGCTGTAGCGTAATTTCTGTCGCTGGATGAGGACATGAGACTGAAGATGATGATGAGAGGAAGAGAGAAGAAGTGAGAGCACCAACCTTACCTGACCTATCACCTTGGACATTGTCTGCGCGCATACTCCGTAATGTGCTTCCTGTAAAGGAAACAGTAAACACCAGCCAGGATGGTATCTCGAGGGACTTGGGTATTGGACTTTGGGAATTGGGATATCCGTCCCTACGGAGTACGGAAGGTACGCAGTAGAGTGAGAGTCGTGGTCCTTGCTTCTGCCCCTGCTCTGTCTGCTCTCTCTCCTCTCCCACGGGCCATAATGCGGTGCTACCCTTTCGCCGTGGACCCGAGCTAGTCCTAGTCGGATACCCCTGGTCTTTGCAGCCACGACACTGGACCGCGGGAAGGACGCATCGGGAGCGCGCAGCAAATGGAATGAATCAACGAAACCCGCTCTCTGCCCTGCTCTCCCCTGTGTCGCTTTGGACTTGCATCTTTGGTGCACGCACATTCCTCATTTCAACGGAGAGACAGACGGAGTCACGGTGTGAGCTCGTGAGGCAGCACGAGCAGGTAGCGCAATGCGGTACGTTTCTTATGGTATCACTCTTTCAGGCCATCTTTTCTTGGATTATATGGACAGGACAGGATGATGTATGGTTGTTCAAGGCTCCACCCAGCTTATCTAAGCACTTGTCTCTGTTACCCCAGAGGCCATTGCTCTATCCTTCACTCAGATGCCTCAAGATGCCTTGAACACCAGAGACATGCAGTTTGTCTATTTCTTCTATGACTACAATGAGGCAAGCACGGCAAAGCCTTCCATCTTCTCTCCTGTATCAGCATTAGCATCAGCATCAGCATGAGATCAGCATCAGACCCCTTACGGACCCGGCCTAACCTTACCGTAGCTCAGGCAGGTAACTCGGGCAACTCCAATGTACCTTTCTTAGGTACTTCAGGTATCCGTAAGGTCCAGCAACTTCCCAAAGTCAAGTCCAAAGGCTGCAAGATGCAAGAGCAAGATGCAAATCCACCAAAGTCCCGTTTCGCATCATTTCCCCTCTTGCTTTTCTTGACTCCTCCAGGCCCGCCTTGGCCTTGGCGTCAACATGAAAGTTCTTGCCTACGGTGCCTGCTCTACCCAAGTGCTGCCCAAGGTACCTGTCGTATCGTACCTGCTCTCTTCGTGAGGTGTTGTTGTCGATGCGCATCTTTCCTGCCTTGCGGATATTTCTCACGCCTATCCACTTTGTGATGCATGTGGCTTCGTCAACGGGGATTTAGTTGGGAAGGAGGAAGAGAAGGCGGAATGTGGCGCGACGCGGAGGGCAAAGCCGCAAGAGGCAGCAGCTCTTCTGCCTGCCCTCTTTCCTTGATGCGTGCAATTCTTCGTGTCTATTCGCAGCTACTTACCTTCCCCAGCATGCAGATAGCAAACAATGCCCCAACAACTCACACTGGTTGGTCATCATTCTCCAGGTCGGCTTCGGGACGATTTTCAACTTCAATCTCGTCGGTTCAAGAGACTTCGAATTTACTGCATTCCCGCTTCGGTCTTTCTTCACACGCCATTCCGTCTCGCGCACGGAGCGAGCCTACCTTGAATCAACATGGCCATACCTTACCTTGAGGTACATATCTGAAGTCTCCAGCTGAACTCAAGGTACATTGATTACCTTACTTTCTCTTACCTACACCTTGTACCTTTTGGTTCCGTACTGACTCTTACTCAGGTGCCTTCCGCCGAATCGAGCGAGGTTCCGTCGCGACACCTGACAAGCCGCCTGGGCACAATCCCATTCTCGACTTCTTTTGTTCCTCATTCCATTGTTGCGCTTCGCTGGTACTCGTCCGATCCAGACCTGCGATTTCCCTTGGCTTACAAGGCATATCAATATTTACTACCTACGAATACCGTATACGTACGTCGGGAGACTAGCACCGGGCAAAAGGACACGACCCGGGCGCCGTCCAGAATGACTCCACGGCACGCCGCACGCCATCACCGCCGTCTTATTACCCACACCTCTCCGAATATCATCCAGGAAGCCAAATTACTGCATTCTTCACCCCGCCGTCGAGACGCCCTCCGACTCCTCCAACGACTCGACCTGACTTGGATGCTTCCTTGAGCCTTCTAGATCCATCGCCTCACCTTGCCCATCCAAGGTAGCCCACGCACGCGGCTACTAACAGCACGGCATACACCACACACATACACACACCTTGACCTATCGCCTGGGTGGCCTTGGTCGCATCAACAACAACGCACCTCATTCCGTCACTCCCATGACTCTTCGTCCCCAGCCATCCTTCCTTCTTCCCTTCCCCCTCGAACGCTCGATCCGAGCATCAACCCCTCTCCCTACGACTACTACCTCTACGGATACTTAGTCTACACCACCTTACCTACCTTACCTTAGGTACTACCCACACCCCGACGCAGCAAGAAGAGAGGGCAACAAGAAATTGACAGACAGGGCTGCATTGCTGCTTATGTTCTTGCATGGCACTAACACAACACAACAGGCTACAAGAAACAGTCACACGCCAACCGTCGTGCTCGCATTTTCCTAAGTAGTGGTGTATGGCTAGTCAGTGGTCCCCATCCGCATCCTATTCCTCTTAGGGCTGCTCGCCGAACAAGCGTCCCGCTACTCTCTACCCGTCCACAGACAGAGATTCACCCCCCTCCCCTACAGTCTACCCCCTCCCCTCCGCACTTGGCCAAAATCATTCCCGTCACCCCCCCTCCCTTCTTCCCCTTCTATTCGGCGTTCCTCTTCTCCACCTCTTCTCTGCCCTGCCCTGTAGGGCCCTGGCTACGGATACCTCAGGACCTAGGCGTGCTAGGCTAGGGTATTCTCTCTCTCTCTCTCTTTGCCCGGCTTGTCCTCTGTCTCTCTGTATCCCCTGCTGCTGCCCCTGCTGGGGGGTAAAAAGGAACCACCCGGGGGCTTCTTCTCCAATCCACGTTACGCCGAAGTTGGAGGTTTGGGATGTGCCTCCATTCTCCCTGGGCCGCTACCGCTACGGATGCCGCTACTGCTGCCGCTGCTGAGCTGAGCTTGCCGCTGCCGACAGCTTCCCTGGGCTCCCCCCTTCTCTTCTCCTCTCCATGACCAGGTCTTCTCATCCACTCAACTCGTTCTCCCGCCTTTTTTCATAAAGGTACCCTCTTCGCCTTACCATATCTGGGGGTGTCGATTTTATCTTATTTTTATTTATACAGCAGCTGGCGTCGTCACACATTGCCTCTATTTCAGCTGTCGTCTCCCCCCCACGACCTGACCTGACTGACGGAACTAAACTCTACCCAACCCAGCTCCGGCCACTCTGCTTGCTCCGACAACATTTGCTCCTCGCATTCCTCGACGCCGTCCGGACCTGATCTGTTTCTGCTTGTCCCGCGATTAGACCGCCGGACTCAACAATCGTACATCTAGTCCAACCACATCGACGTCTGCTCCATTTCCCTCTTCTACGTTACGACTCGCGCCGCCTTGCTCTATTTCGTCTAGTCTTGTCTTTCCTTTTTCAGTTTCCTCTCGGCCCCGACCGCTGCGTGACGCAACAGAGAGACCGACAGAGACAGCCATTCTCGGCTTGCATTGGCCCCCGTTCTCAACCAACGGCGAGCCCGACTGCCATCGCCACCCACGGCCTCCAAGACGACCGCCTTGGCCTCGGACGCTTCTCGTATCCCACCGCGATCAGAACCCTAGATATTTCCCGGCCCATCACTCATGACGCCCGTGCTTCCGTCACTATAAACCTTAGTGGCGCCGCTTCAGCTGGAATTGTCAATCCTCAGCCGGCAACTGCACAGATACAAGCCAACATCATGGAGGCACCTTCAAGATACAGGGAGCCTGCGGGTCTTCCCAGTATCTTTATAGACTCGAACCCAAGAGGCTCAGACCGATACGACTCAAGCAGTTATTCCTCTTCTGTCGCTATTCCTGGTTCCGGAGACAGAATCAACGCACCGCCGCCCTTACCGCCACCGCGACTCCCCTTCGACGATCCTCACATGCATCACCAGGAGCCCAGACAACACTACCGCGATCCCTCATCCTACAGCCCCAGAGAACACAATTATCATGACAGCTTGGGAAGCTTGGATGACAGGCCAAATTACATGAGATCTGGTTACAGGCACGATGAGGGTTATGCTAGCATGGGTTCGTCCTCAGCTTCGGCTTCCACAAGGTAGGAATTCCCCCACTCTCCATTGGCGCCTGGTTTAGTTCCAAAAAAAGCCTGCAGTTTCGAGACTTTGTGCCCATCTAACACTTTGACCTGGATAGATCAGAATGCTCTCTGCCTAGCATTTCGGCCGGCTTTGGTCTGCACCATAACCAATTCCAGTTTCAGTCTGGCGCGGACGCTTTTACCGATATGAAGAAGAAACTCGCTCCTCTGAAAACCTTCGACAACAAGCCGCCTGGCTCACTTCTCAGTGCGTCGAGCACATCATCAACTAGCGACCCTTTCTCGAGGAGGTTGTCTGGTGACATGCGCGTACCGCCGCTTTCCGTACCTACCAGCCTGCCGTTGCACCTCAAGACGTCGAACCTGTTAGACTCTCCCGACAGATATTCACAGACTCCCAACTCTGCCCTCTCACCTTCCCCTAGAAGCCAGCCATTCCATCTTGGCCAGGACTATAGGTCCCCTCGGTCTGTTTCCGATTTCGACAGGTCACCCCCTGCCCGCACCAGAAGGAACAACAGCGACGATGCATCATCGCACAGTCACGAAGTGGACGAGATGGAAATGGAGGAAACCAATTCTATGAAGAGGTTGCGGATAGAGGACCCAATTAGAGCGCACTACGACGGCGCTGGGGCGAAGCGCCGGGCATCTGCCGATCCCGACGATAGCGTACCACTTGGTTTCACAAACCAGGGTGATTTGCTACGTCGCCGCGACGGAAACCAAAGAGGATCTCCTACACCTCGGCTGAGCGTCATTCCTCAGGGATCTGTCTCTTCGTCTTCCGGTCGTGCGGGGTCTTACAGCTCTAACCTATCCCTACTCACTGGAAGCATTGCCAGCATAGGCTCGTCGTACGGCCGGGTCTCTCCAGGAGGCTTGTCTCCAGGTGGAATGTCGCCTGGCGGAACCGATCCAAGCTGCAGCTCTCCTTACAGTGCATCGATGTCGCTGAACCCCTCACCTCGCGGCTCTCTTTCCAGGGCTCCCCACCAACGGACCATTAGCGAAAGCCGGCCTCTCGCTTCTCCCCGCAAGCTTACGGAAGTGAGCAAGCCTGGTGGAGCCAAAATTTCAGGATTCTTTATGTGCGATTGTTGCCCGAAGAAACCCAAGAAATTTGAGTCTGCGGAGGAGTTGGCGTAAGTACCAGGCCTGCAAATGTTAGGAAAGTATTGGAACTATTAGCTAACCCTCTGCAGGTCTCATGAAGCCGAGAAGCAGTATGAGTGTTCATTCTGCGGGAACCGTTTCAAGAACAAGAACGAGGCGGAACGCCACCAGAACAGTCTTCATGTTCGGAGGCACAGTTGGAGCTGCTCGGCCTTGAACGGTTATGATCGAGCTTTCCACGACAGTACCAACCGTCCCGGTGAAGCAGACTCTTGTGGTTACTGCGGTGAGGAGTTCCCTAGAAACGGGAGAGGCCCTGGTGCTTCCGCACCGCGCCACGCTACCGACCAGGATTGGGAAGAGCGCATTCGCCACCTCCAAGAAGTACACAAGTTCCAAGAGTGCAACAGCAGCAAGAAATTTTTCCGCGCCGACCACTTCCGGCAGCATCTTAAGCACAGCCACGCCGGCACAAGCGGCAAATGGACGAACATGCTGGAGAACGCTTGCATGTTGGATGAGGATCCCACTCCGAGATGAGCCGGGGTTGTTGGTGCCAGACTTGGTTTAACCAGCCATCTACTGGATGCATATCTCTGGACTGGAAGCGCAGCCTGGAACGATGCGTCCGACTAATACACCGAATGCGAGTGGACGATTCCAGACTGGGAAGGCAGTCGAATTGTAGACGGTCGCTGACGAGCAGGACCTGAACACTTGCCACTACGGATGGGAAATGAAGAGAGTTCCTACGCCACGGCCCGGATAGACGTGCTCTCGCCGGCGCCATGAGCAGTACAAAAAAAAATCAAAAGCATTCTGTTGAAGCATGTAGGCAGCATATACGGGGTTGATGGGCTGGCCATTTGGAAGCACCATGTTTTTGGGCTTCTGGAGTATGGGTGGTTGCCATGAGGGGCTTTCAGGCGCCAGAAATATAGCCGCAGGTTGTCTGTTGCGCGCATTCCATTTGGAGGAAATACCAGGCATTGTCGGGCCAGTGGGAGTGATACGATGAAATGATATTGGTATTAGAAAGAGACACAGCACTTTAGCAAGTCTGCGACGTAAAGGCTAGCAGTGTATTTTGTAGGTTCAGGGCACACAGGTTGGACAAGAGAGAGAAAAGAATAAAAAGTCAAATAAATCATTACAAATTACTGTTCCACGTTGTCTTCCTGGTTTGATTTAAGTCTTTGGTTCCTCGTAGTGCATGGCCGAGCAAGGTACTTGGTTTCCGAATCGACACGATGGGAATGGTAGACAGCCACTCAATGGAAATTTAGGCAAATCCACCGGTGGCTGCCAAAACTTCCCCCGTGTAGGTCCTTCAGATTTCGTAGATCAAGAAACAAACATGTGCTCCAGTGCCTTGCCATGTAAGGTATAAACGCCAAGTCGCCATAAGGCTTCATCAACGGCAATTCGGCATGCGGCCGTGAGGCCGCCGGCTGACAGGACGTCACATGATCTCAGCCCTACAAGCCACAGAAGAGTGGCGCAGGCGTGCGTGGTCTCCTTCCGTCCCTAGGCACATGGTAACAAGGGCATTGGAAAGTGAGGGGCAAATGAAGCGGGGGAAGGGGGCACGCCGCAGCAGAAGGGGACTGACGCCGGACATTTCCTTCCACCACACGGCCGAGTGGCAGGCAGGAGCGACAGCCTCAGGACTGAGTGAAGCACGAGGGTACATATCCGTACAACGAGCCGAAGAAGAAACAAAGGTGGAGGCTTGGCTCTTTTCGGGAACGGCAATATTTTGGGAAACAAAGCTAGAGCAACTTCAGGCCGAGCCACAAGCACAACTGCGTCATTCCCGTCACCAACCACCACCACTTACCACCAGTATTCGTCGCATCCTGAGATTGGCATGCGAGAGGGGTTTGTCTTCTGGTGGCTCTTGGGATGCAGACATTGACTCTCACCTCTCTCTCCCCCCCCCCCCCGTCTTGTCCACACACCACATCCGTACACAGCAGGGAAACTTACATCTTCATACACACTGCTTTCATGTACATTTTGCAAAGCTGCCCTCTGTACCTTTCCCTTCATCGGTAAAGCTGTGCGCATGGTTCGTGGCCAGATTTCAACCGAGGACGTGACGAAGCGATTGAAAGAGATCGAGTCAAGCTTGACAACCACGACAACGACCAAGACGGGATCGAAGGACGCGGCTCAGGTTATACCTCCCGCGGAGAAGCAAGCACTGAAGAATACCTTAGAGATATACACAGGCGAGCCTGAAGGAAGCGAGGAAACTGAAGCTTTACACCGACTACTGAAGAAGAGCTGCGTCGAGATGGCGATGAACCGCATCGACGGCAAGGAGGAGCTTTATGTGGGAGGGTGAGAAATATCCCCCCCCCCCCTCGTCGTCTTCACCGCAAGGTCCACTGACGTGATCCCAGCATCTGGGCTTTGCGCCGCCCGTCGGCACTGAAGGAGCGTAACATTACCCACATACTCTCCATGCTGCGATTCGACCCAGCCGGTCTCAAGAGTGAGACCGACACCTGGGAGAACTACGGACAGAACTATAAGCATATGGTCATCGGCATCGACGACGTCGAGGACGAGGATCTGCTCATTCATCTGCCCAAGGCTGTTCGTTTTATCGAGGATGCACTGTACCCTGGCAGCAGCAGCAGCAGCAGCAGCAAGAAGACGGTCTCAGACGGGCCTGAAGAGGAGGCCCAGAAGGACAAGAGCTTTGAGGAGAAGGCCAAGCGCTTGAAGGCAGCTGTGGCCAAGGATTTGGAGACCGAGTCTGAGACCGAGGCGAAGACTGCCTCGGCGCCGGCGGCAGCGGCGGCGAAGCCCACAGATCCGGACGCCATCCTCCCTGCCCCCCTATTCGAGAACCTGAATTTGAGCTCCGACGGGGAGAAGCCGGACCCCAACACCCCTGGCGGCGTCTACGTCCACTGCGCCATGGGCAAGTCCCGCTCCGTCTCCGCCATCGTCGCCTACCTCCTCTGGAAACACCCCTCCCGCTTCGGCAGGTCCGCGACCTCCACCGCCGCCGCGCAAAATGGCGCGTCAAGCGGGGCACCCAAGTCCGCTGACGAAGCCGCGGCAGCGCAAGAGAGGGCTGCGGCCGCCGTCACCGCCGCCGTGAAGTGGGTTCGCAACACGCGGGAAATCGCGGAGCCGAATTCGGGCTTCATGAAGCAACTCGAGATGTGGTGGATCATGGGGTGCCCTGACGACGTGGCGTCACACCCGATCTACAAGCGGTGGGAGTTCCGGAGGGAGATTGACGAGAGCCTTGCGGCAGGCCAGGCACCCACGAAGCTGCGGTTCGAGGACGAGGAGACGAGCAAGGAGGAGGCGGAGAGCGTCAAGGGTATGGAGGTGCGGTGCAAGAAGTGTCGCAAGACGCTGGCTACGTCACGGTTCGTGCTCGATCACGAGCCTGATGCCCCCAGAGACCCGCGGCAGCAGCAGCAGCCGTGCGGACACGTCTTTGTGGAGCCGCTGGGGTGGATGAGGGAGGAGCTGGAGAAGGCGACGTTGGAAGGGCGGTTGTCGTGCCCAAATCAGAAGTGCGGTGCCGCCGTGGGCAGGTATAGCTGGCGGGGGTTCCGGTGCAGTTGCGGCGGGTGGGTTACGCCGGGGTTCAGTCTGCAAAAGGGGCGTGTGGATGAGGTTGCTACGAGGGTTCCTGGAGGCGCGGTGGCGATGGGGATTCGGATGCCGCCTGGTTCGGGGAGGTTATAGAAGGGGATTGTCGATCAAGGCTTGCGGCTAGAGCTAGAGGCTAGAGGCTAGATTGGGAGGATACATGGAGAGAGAGAGTGTGTGTGTGTTTGGTAAAGCGTTGCAAGAGGGGATGGTTCTGCCTGGAGTTGAGGGGGAAGGAAAGGATTACATGACATAAACGGTTGCATCAGCCTGGTACATGGCAGGGTTCCTAGATGGCATAGAGAACTTATTCCGAAGATTCTCGCTGACTGCGGGTTAGGAAGTATACGTACATGTAGAGTTGACCCCGTTGGATCGTTACGTGTGGAAGGCTGGATGTCCTCATGATTGCCTTGATCGTGATATACTGCAATTTGAATGCTTACTACCGATTAGTGTAATCATGAACGAGCTGGTGAATATAGACTCGCTTTGCACTCGGGTCATGGTTGAGGTCACTCATCTCGGGACTTGTTGCACAGGAACGTCTGCAGTTATTCACAGATCCTATCGCTTACTCACTTCAAGGCGGAAGGGATCTTGAGATCGCAAGGCTTCCTTGAACACCTTTCAGCATGCGACCAGTGATTGGTAATAACCCAGCGGAGGGTATGCTCGCGTGGTCCTGTGAAGGTGCTCCGGACCGTTGCGGCGAGAGAGAAATTTGACTATACTCTAATTCGAGCATCGTATATCTGGGGATGTGAGTGGATCAGACCAGAGATACAGGTGGCTTTCATCAGGGTACTATGACTACGCCCTGGTTCCTTCCAGAATCACACTCTGCTATTGGAATTGGCTTCGGCCCGTTTATGATGCATGTACGGTTGAGCAAATTCTATCCTTGGAGACTCGCAGTTATCTGCAAGAGCATGGTTTCGTTCAAGCGATGTTGTCTGTCTAGAGGATGTGGATCGAGATGGAGATTTTAGAAGAAGGTAAAGTGCTGCCTGGATGCAAGAGATCGAGAGTCAATGCAGAAGGAGTGGATTTCCGTACAGTTGAGAAGACTAGACCCTTGTTTGTACCTGAAAGAAGGTGGTCCTTCTGCCAGGAGGGGTGGGACAAGATGTGGTTGCGCCTAGGCACTTGATATTCTAGAAGTAAGTAGAGTGCTGCCTGGATGTGCGAGATCTATCTCTAGACGCAGAGCGGTATGAGTTGAGGATCCGTACAGTTGAGCAGAATGGATTCCTGTCAGGTCTTGGAAGGTGGTCGATCTCCTCAAGCAAGCTGCAAGGCGCAATGCGACTTCCAATGGGGGTGGACCGTGATGGGCGTATTTCCTCGACAAGTAGGTATCTAGAACCGATATGGATGCGCCATTTTGAAGTCCTAGGAGAAGATAGAGTGCTGCCTAGATGCGAGAGAGCGAACGTCGAGGCAAGAGTGAGTATCCGTATGGGTACAGGCCCACGGACAGTACTAGGCAGACGAGTTCTGTTAACTTGGCCGTCAAGGGGTTCAGAGATGCTGGCCGTCGCCGCTGGGGACGGTTTGCATTGTTCTTTAGTGGGCTGGGTGTGTGGACCTGGAGATAGACAATCCCTTGGGGAAAAGTTGAATGCGTTTCCATTTTCAGATTATGGTGTTTCCTCATGATGGAAAGGAGAACGCTTTCGGAGGGTGCCAAGTTAGCATGCCTAGTCTCGGCAGCCGACGTTCCTAAAACCTCGTAGGGTGGGTGGGAGGGAGATCCTGGGTAGAGATTGAGTGTAGAGATTGAATGTAGAACCTAGCCCCTTTCCTGGATCACTGTAGGATCGTCAAGACTGGGAAGGACGAGTTCATGGTCACTCTCCTCGCTTCGGCGGATACAGAGCTGGGTGACTGTGTTTTGGATTGGTTAAGGCACGAAGGAGTCAAATAATGGAAGTTTACTCTGTGAACGTTGGGGGATCGAAGGGCGTGTTTGCCATGGGTGCGAAAAAAGGGGGCCGGTACCTTCTTTGAGATCCCGCCTGAGGACAACTGGAACCCTGCGTTGAGCACTCCCTAGAACGAGGACATTCGCGCCGTTTTTCTTTTGAATACGAGCTGCCACAGGTTCTCTCGTGCTAGAACGGGGATTTTGGCGATGACGGCGCGCCCGTTGCTGGATCATCCAGGTCGTATGAGCTTCCAAGGGTAAGCTCTCAGAGACTCGAGCGGGCTTCGCGGAAGCATGGGGGCTAGATGATGTTACTATCGGGTTGTCATTTGTAGGCTTGGACGTCAATAGAAACGAACTCATCGTTTGTAGACTCGAGGACCATGATTAGATTACGGAAACAATCATCTGGATATCGTGCACTTAGAAATGAGAAGGATCAACGAGAGAAACGAAATTTAGGACGCCATCGTGGTGGGCCCTTAAATGGCACTCTTCTGAGGATGGTCATCCACGCACAGTGAGATTTCTACTCCTTGCTATTGCTTACTGGAGCGGTCAAAACAAGAACCAAAGAGTTGGAAACCACGAGAAGAAGCTTTAGTCTTAACGATCCTCTCTTTTCAAACTCATCCAAATCCAATACGGGCTTTCCTTCCGGTAGGTCGATGTTGCTGATGAACAGACGAGTGGGTCAACTCTTAAAACGACAGGAGATGCGGCAGACGATGCTGGATGGTAAGGGGCATGCTTGTGATGAGATTCAACCATAGATTAAACCCGTCAGCCTACATCTTCATCGTCCTTACGCAGACATTGGAATCTCTCCTCTACGTCTTCGAAATCAATCTTCATAGCTTGGAAGGGCACAGGTCAGGTACCCTGAACAGGCACCCTACCAACAAGGCATCCAATCTTCCCTACACGACTGCCTGCTTGCATTTGAGTGTGTACGGAGTACGCCAAGCTCTACTCACAAACCGAGCAGCATACTGTCTCCAGACCGCTGATCCCCCAGCTCAGAGGTTAGAAGCCAGACCAGGTAGCATATCCGCAGATAACTATTTACCTCCAGGTTCCCATTCCTTAGGCTTTCTCCTTATAGATCTTCGCCTATCCTCTGAGATTGGGGGCAGAATGGCACGGTAGCCCTCAGTCATCCCCCGGGAGGCTCACTACCTACTCTCGACATCGACTTGAATCCCTCTGTGCTACGCCCGACGGTCATGTACCTGCTAGTGTTGGCCGGTGAGGCGCAGCAGCAGCCAGCATGTTGATACTCCTACGCCGGATAACGAGCGGAACCTCCGCGTTGTAGTGGGCAGGCTACCTACAATCTACTTTGCGCACGCCATGCTCGACCAACGATGGGCCGGCACTGGTGCAATCCTTCGCTTTTACAGATAGGGGAGTGGGCCTGGGAAGACGAAGACGCATGTCGTAAGAGTAAGACGAGTCTGGCCTGTCACGATGCCGCTGGAAGCGAAGGGGCGGGGGGGGAGGGGGAGGGGGAGGGGGGTATGATCTCTCTGGTTTGCTAGTGCTCTCCGGCGTACGGGGGCATCTTACCTGCCGCTCTAGGCTTCTGTATATGCAAGGTCTCTTCTCCATGTCCCTGCTATATTCCTTCCGGTGAGGAGTGTATGTGATGTATCTCATAGGACTTTCAAGGGCAGACTTTAGGCTGATGGGCTGTGGGAATAGCTCTAAGGCTGCAGTGAGGGTGTACGAGTATCGTTCCTCCTTCTCTTACCGTAGCGTCCTTCTGCCAATCTCACAACGGGTATCCGTGCTCTCGAGCGTCTGTGTGCGTGGGGGCTTTCGTTGTGGATGCGTTTTAACTTCTCGAACATGGATGAAGGTCCTCCACGCTGGTACGGTTGCCGTCATCGTGAGGTTCCATCATGTATACCACGCAGAGAGATTGACACTATTGCCCCCTTTAGAGAGACCTGTCAGACTTCTACCAAAGGAGAGTCTGCACTCTCTCGAAAAAGGTAATGATTACGTTCCGCGATGTTCGAATCCACTTTCAAGTCCCTCCTCCCCCAGAAACGTTGACCCCTATTCTGCCAATTTTTTTTGCAGCTTGAAGGATCACCATCCCGGCACGGACTCGGGCTCCGAAGGCCAGGAACGCCGTCTGGGATTTTTTCTTGTGAAGAAAAGGCGCCCCGCGCGCGCACGCCCCGCCTTCTATTTCCAAGCTAGAGCGAGTCGGGACGGAGGTTTGTTTCCTGTCTTTCTCTGTCTCTCACTCTCTCCTTCGGGGGTTGCGTCGGCTAGCGGCACTTCTGAGGCATTGCAGAGGAAAGAATATTGGAGCCTGTAGGGCTGGATGGATCCTCTTCCCTTTTGCTGAAGAGATTTAAGGTGGCTGTGGTGTGAGGATGGAGGTCCGATAGCTTCGAGGGTCAGGAACTTTGGAAGGATTTCCCTCTAAGGGGAAGGGCGGATTCCTTGGGGGGGGGGGGGGGGCTTTCAAGGTCCCCGAAGACAAGATGCCAAGTTCATGGCTTTGAAAGCCCTTGATATAGATAGCAAGATAGTGATTGGGTAAGTTACGAGCATGACCTCCATGGCAACGTTCAGTCTTGCCCCCTTGGAGATTTCCTTCTGGAAGGCGCGAGAAGTGCTACTTCTACGGCTGCTGGCATCGCTTTGACATATTTAGATCTTCAGAAACCATTCATTTGCTTCTTGCGGGGACTTTATTTCAGCTAAGAATGGGATATAATTCTTTGTTAATACACATCAGACTTTGTATTCGTCTCCGCTTTCATACACAGCTCCAGGCAACAGCATTTCTCAAACAGTGACACAGGAGAAATTGTGAGAGAAACGTACAACTTTCTTATCATAATTGACTGAGCTACACGAGCTTTAAGGGATCTCACCTTACCCAGGGGTTTTTGGTGTTCGTGTTGGTTTTTGATACACCACTCGAAACATAACCCCATATTATGCTACCTGTCCGAGTTCGTACGGAACTTTGGTGGTGTGGTGCATACCCTTCAATGAATTTTATTTTTAATATGTAAGACTATAATATATCATTAAATAAAGATGTAAAATAGAATTGTATTTAGACGATTGTTATAATTATTATAGTAATTCATATATTATAGGTTAGATTATAATTAGGTAGCTAGGAAGGATTTAGGGGGAGGCCAAAAGGGGGTGGGTCGACTTATAGCATCTGAGTTGTTTCAATTGTATGGTTGCGCACTCTGTTGAGCTCTGGGAAACGCAGCGGACAGGCAGATAGCTAACATGTCATTAGTCCAGGCGCAAATATCCCTTGATAGATGCTATTCTACATGTCAGATAATTGGTTGATTATCTGTGAGATTGATTGATATACAGTACAAAATTGATGTGCCTTTTTACGATGCCAACCACGACGCATTAGCAGCAACTCCTATGCTCGATATCTTAGCGTTCCGCAACATTCTTCTGTACTCCTCAATTTTGGAAAGCCCAACCATGACAAGTTCCTCAACAGTATCCGGGACAAGATTTTTCTTCCAGACACAAATCATACCATTGACTTGGTGATCGTCAACCGTGACAGACAAGACCATCTCCGTCTCATCCCTAACCTCCCACGACGCCCGACCATAGGCCTTCATACCCGTCGCCTTCCAATGCAAATGACCCAGCTCGCCGGATTCGTACTTCCCCTCGTTTGCTTTGATGTTGATCTGGAGCCCACGTTGTGAAAGTCGAATCTCGGTCTGAGCAGGTAGCGTGTGGAAATCGAATACGGCTACTTCCTGCCCCCCGTTCGCGGGTGATGTGACATGGCACTTGTCTCCCCAGGCCCCGAGGATGGCTTGCCGTTTGACTTCGTAGCGCGGCGTCTTGTCGCCATTGACGCCGAGAACACGGCGGTGATCTTTGAGTGCGGTATAGTGGATTTCCAGAGCAGGTGTCTCTTCGGTGCGGCGTTTGTCCGGGGTGGCGTCTACGCGGACGATAAAATTTTCGAGCCATCCGGGGGCCATTGTAATGATGTTGACGGGAGGTATCGTGTAAGAATGAGAGGTTGTATCTAGATATGCCAAGGCCTTTGTGTCTTATGTAGATCCTTTGTTCCTAGCCTCACGCTCGCAGGTGTCAGGGACGGACTCTCCTAGATATTGGCTTCATGGCTGTTGCCTAATTGTCTCCATCGTATGAGAAATTATGGTAATTTTTCCTGTTGTAGCATTCTGAGCAAAGCGAGACGGGGCGTTCTTGAGGTCTCCATCTGTGTCATGGGCACACTGGTCCGATGGCGGAGATGGCGGAGATGGCGGAGGAGGCTCTTGGGTAGAGATCCACTGCCGGGGCTGTAAGAGCCTTGTCGTCTATCTTGAAGTAGACTGAACGGTGGAAAGTGGGGGTTCTCCGGCTCAAAACCGAGATCTCGGGCTCCATTATCGTCTTCGGGGTCCATCATTGGTCCTTTCGGGCTCCATTTGTAGGGAAATTGAACAGAGCCTCAGGGTCCAAGCCTCCAAGGGCATCGGAAAGAGCAGCCTGACACCCGATTACTGGCAGAATGGCATACTTGAATTCAGTTTACTGCGTTATTCTACCCAACTTTCTCTTTCTATTTCCAGTCTCTGTAAAATCTGAGTCGTAGGTAGGGCACGGGGGTGGGTGATTTACGTCTGTTGAAACTCGAGAGAAAGTGACTGGTCTACCTCACAGACTAGTGTAACTCTCCGATTTCTAGTTGTTTCATGGTAGTCACTAGTCTTCGTTTCAAAGATAGCTCGGTCGCGTAGGAAGTCGTGCTGAGAGCGATACCTACGTAAAGAGAAGAGCAGATAGGAAAATTCAGATCAAACGTGCATAATGCTGGGTCACCAGCGCGGCAACATGCATCAACTGCTCACACAATATTAGACTGGTACTAAAGGTGCCTACTTGACAGAACAACTTTGATTCGTCTCAAGATCGAGTAAAACGAATGAAGTCCGTTTGGCGCCTAGTAATGCCCGAACACCGACCGCCGCTCCGGCGTCGTCAGTTGCGTAGTCGCCCCCGCCGACGCCACTCCGCGGTGCGGCTCTTCAACGTCACGGCGGTGAGTCAACTCTCCAGAGGTTAGACAAAACCTACCTCTACTACGGATAGCACGGGGAATGCCAAGAGCTCGTCCAAGAAACCATTTGCAATCTCCGTCTCGTTCGAATCGGTGATTTAGGCTCATTGCCGGATGCGACGCTGATCTCCACCCCCTCAATTGGTGGAAACTCTGCTCCCCTGGCAGAGGGCTCATGAAGGTCGACTTCTTTGGTGAGAGTTCGGATTCGCATGCAGGTCAACGGAGTAGCCCGGGCACGACATGATCAGGAACCTCATACAGAGTAGAATACTCAGACACATGTTTCCACCTTGAAATTGACGCCCGTGGGTATCATTCTGGGTCACCGTTGCGTGATACAGGGCTGCAGAAGCGACATGAGATAAGCATTTTGAATGTCACATACCAACAGCGCATGGCTCCAGCCCTCAGTGGCGCAAACTTCTGTTCAATATTGAATTCTGTCTGTTTATATTAATCACACCTTTTTACTTTCAGATGGCAACATTGCGCGACTTTAAACTCGGAGGGGGAGTTGCCCCTCTCAGTTTAGCTCGGCGCACCTGTCAACCTCCCGGTTCCCCACTCCCGGGGGAACACCCCGGACTCGGGAATCTCGGTGCAGCATCACTCCGCTCCAAGATGCAAACTTACTGAAGCGCTTGAGACAATGTGACCGGCCTTTTGAAGCTACAAAACATCTCATGAATCCACTTGATCTGCTCTGAGATGTAACCTCTGGTGTCCTCATTGTTTCCTCAACTTAGAGCATTCCCTCGAGGTTCCTCAAACAATCAACCTCCAAGCTTCCCGCCGAGGTCATCACATACACATTCAGCCCTGCTCTCCTCCTCTGGAAACATCCACCATGCGTGCCCTCACCGCACTCCTAGCTCTCGCAACCTCAACAATGGCAGAGACCCTCCTCTACAGCAACCCCCTAAACTCAACCGCCGACGTCGCAACCTGGGTAGCAGAGGGTCCCCTCACCGTAGCAGCCGTTAACGACACCCTCGAGCTCTCGGGCGGCGGCAACCCAGACGACTACTTCGTCTACTGGGTGCCCGAGGTCTTTCCCGATGGCATCCGCATCACCTGGGAATTCTCCCCGCGCAACGAGCCCGGCCTGGCCATGTTCTTCTTCGGCGCCGCCACCGTCGCCGACGACGGCAAGGGGTCCATCTTTGACCCGTCCTTGAAGCCCAGGAACGGGAGTTACCCGCAGTACCACTCTTCCGACATCCGCACCCTGCACGCGTCCTACTTCCGGCGGCGATGGCCCGAGGAGAGGGCATTTCATCTGGCGAATCTGCGCAAGTCGCCTGGTTTCCACCTCGTTTCTCAGGGCGCGGACCCTTTGCCGCCCGTCCCTGATGCCGCTGGTGCGTTTTACAAGATTGAGGTTATCAAGGACAAGCGCGAGGTCAAGTTCCGCATCAACGACTTGCCCATCTTCGAGTTTTACGACGACAAGTCTACGGGGCCTATTATTCGGGATGGAAGGATTGGGTTCAGACAGATGCAGCCTCTTGTTGCGAGATATCGCAACCTTCAGGTGTGGAAGCTTTAAAAAGGGGAAGATGACGGACACGGATATACATGTATTATGATGCCTTGATATAATAGATAAATAGCCACTGCCACTGAGGCCGCAATTCTTCGAACTCCTTTAATCATCATGCTCCTGAACCCCGCTCCGTAGCCGTGATCTCCAGCGAATGGGCCGGCCGAGATCAGACGACAACTTGGGCACAACCTCGCTCGTCACAGATCCTCCTTCGCCAAGCTTATCCAGTCCCTCAATCAAATCAGCAACTTCCGGCGGCGGCGCCGTATCAAAGACGGCCTGGATATCACCGTGCGGCGAAAATCCCGAAAGCTGCCACCCCAAGAAACTCCGGCGACCGCCACCACCCATCTTCTTCCTCATCCGGCGCGAGAACTGCCGCCTCTCGTATAGGCTAATAAGCAGCAACGATGGCAAATTCAGCGCGCGGATCAGCGCGACATTGACTCTGTGAAAAGTCTCAGCTGACACGGCGAACCGTAACGGCAGCAGCGTCGTGAGCGCAAAGATGTTAAAGGGCGGCGGGTACGCAAAGATGGCATCGCTCTTGACGCCCTCAAACGTCAGCACGGCGCGGCGGAAGCGTACCTCGGCCGCCTCGTCGGCAATGATGTTGGAAAAGGTGTTTGTCAGCACGGCGACGAGGATCGTCAGGAACAGTGTGTTGCCGAGAAACGCGAAGCCCACCATGAGCGCCGGGCCTAGAATGATGTGGAACTGCGTCGACTCCTGGATGCCGGTGCCATCGAGGCCGAACCATATCCAGAGCATCCACTTGCAGATGGCGAACCACGAGGGCGTCTCATTGAAGTTGTCGTTGGAGTCGATGAGCCACTGCAGCGCGAGGAGGAAGCCCATGAAGCACCAGCACGCCAGGAACGAGAGCAGCAGGAAATCCTTCATCATGGCGTGCAGGGAGATTAGGACGATGTTGTCAGGCGCGATGTTGAATGCGACGCGGGTGAGGAGGATCGGCGCCGCAAGCGGGAGGATGTGCAGGCCGTGGCCGTCAGGGAAGTGGCCTGCCCCTACGTCGTAGATGCGAGCGAGGACGTAGGCGGCGTAGATTGCGGAAAAGGTGACGTCGAGCCAGGACCAGAGGTTCTGCGCATGGACTTCCCAGCCGTGCTCTGCGACGGCGGCGACTTCGTCGAGGACCCAGCCGGCGGCGTAGATGCAGAAAAGAAACTCAAAGACCTCGTTACTGCTGCGGCGGTAGAGCATGGCGAGGAAGTAGAGGACCATCAGGATGAGGAACTGGACGAACTCGATGGAGTTGCGGGAGCGGGGGACGATGAGGCGGTAGTGGTTTAGGAGGGGCGCCTTTCGTGGGTCATAAAGGGAGATGGGGCGGTACTCGTAATGGTCGGGCAGGATATCGACAAAGGAGAGCGGTGTGTAGACGACGCGGCCCTCGTATACGGCGTTGATGACGCGCTGGCAACCCGGGGAGGAAATGAAGGTCTTGCTCTCGGAGAGGATGGCGAGCTCTAGGGCGGTGAGTTTGCGTTCGAGACCGCCGCGTTCTTGGGGCGCCCACTGCCGGCGACCTTCGAACTCGACGGCCTCGGGGGCGCCCTCGAAGGGGTCGAAGCCGCCGACGAGGAGGCGCGAGAGGAAGAGGAGGCCCTGAGAGCCTGGGTTGGCTTCGTGGAAACGGCGAAGGACGCGGGCTGCTACGAGTTCGCAGAGCGTTGCGCGGGCTACGTTGATGGGTTGGTGAACAGAGGTTGCTTGTTGACGGAGGAAGTAGAGGCGGTTGGCTAGGAGGCAGTAGACTAGTTCTGGTGTTAGTTATGGGTGGTATTCATGAGAAGGGGGTCACGTACCTATGGTGATGTCGTTGGGGTGGTACAGACGCTCAACGAGAGGCCGGACGATGAGGATGTTCATCCTGGGGTCACTCAACTGACTGAGTGTGTATGTATCATCTATATCAAAGTGTGAGTATGCAACTTTCCTCACACTGCAAAATGGTCCTCACCTATACTTGCATTGATGAGCCGGCGGACGCTACCCCACGGTCAGTATTGTGATACCCTAGTTTGATCATGAGATGTTCCAAGCTTTGATGAACGTACCGGTGCATCGACACATAGATGGGCAGCTCAGAATCTGAAGACGGAACACCGGGCTTCTCATCGTCGTCATCATCACCAAGACAGGCCTCAGTCTCGGAGCCGCCAGCGACACCGGAAGCTTCGTCGTCCTCCTCGTCTTCATCACGACACCTCTGCCGACCTGTCCATAACCTGGCCTCTTCCGCCATCTCCTCCGTCGGCGACCGTCTCATCTCCAGCTTCTCACAAGTCGGTTTGGTCCGTCTGCGTCGCAAATACATTCACTTTTCTTATGGAATACATCAAGAGGCAGATGGTGACGGCACGAGGTCAAAGGGGAAGGACGCTCTCGGGAAAAGCGCACCTGTTCAGATCGTCCACAGACAAACCATCCCCTTAAATGGACAGCACGGAACAGCTGGGGTAAAAGGGCCCCTGTTTTTAGTCATGGAATCTTGGCGATTCATTACAAGACAACCAGCCGCGATGCCCAGGATTTGTGAGGAAACCATTATGTAAGTGCGAGTCGCTGCGCACGCGCGTAGCCGGTAACCCCTGATGAGGCACCAAACACCGAGATCGTGTAAGATATAGCTTTCTAAAGGGAGCACATAAAGAGAGCCGAGGAGTATAGAAGCATAACGGACGCTTCTATTTGGAATACGATCTTTAGCGAAAGCCTTGTGGAAGATTAGGTAGAATGCTGGGTGAAGGTATGGGGGCAAAACAAACCCGCCAGAAACACATTTCTATTATGCCCGCATAAGAGAGGAAAGCTCTCAGGGCTACCGACGTATGAGGCGCCTGCCATCGTTGGTGACAGGAATGGACTTGACGAATCCTATGAGGGCTTCCGTGTAGTATTCAGCCCGTTTCGTTCAGCCGTGGCCCACAAGTCGGCGCCATGCTGGCACGTCAGCCTGTTGGTGGCGTCTCCCTCACCGGCGATGGACTCGTAGTAGAGTGTCAACTTGATGAATTCCTCCTCGGGGTCCTCCCACTTGACCGACCATTCCCAATTCCCTGGTCGTCGGCGTCGGGATGGCCCAGGCCCAGCCGCAGCCCTGCGGCGTACGGCCCGCGTTGATTACTTTTTGCCCCCCAAGAAAGAATCAAACGCGACGAGGTCACCAGAGATTGAATGGCATCTGGAGACCTCTGACGAGCGGATATCCGGGCTTGATCGCTGCCTCCGCCAAGCCGGACATGGCAAGTTGCAAAGGCTAAAGGGCACCTCGCGTTCGCCAATCCGGGGGCCAAGCCTCTCGGAACATCGGCTTTACATTTCTCCCTTCCATTTGCTCTGTAAGGTACGTAGCGGGGCCCGCGTACCCAACCACCCGCAACCACCATCCCGACCGCGGGGTCCTATCGATAACCAGTCACCCAGCTCCATCACCACGCAACGTCATCCAGGCAACGACACCACGAACCCACCGAAAACCAACACTACCACAACTTCTCCCACGACCAACCCATAGCTCGTGGCGACACAAAAAAGAACAAGACACTTCTCCTCTCAATACGAAAGCAAAAACAAACGACCCCCTAACCATGAACCGCCTTTTCGGCGCAGCGCCCAAGGGCCCAAAACCAACCCTAAACAGCGCAATCACAAATATCGACGACCGCATCTCCTCAATCGACGTGAAACTCTCCGCCCTCACCGCAGAACTAAACACCTACCAACAAAAACTCTCCAAAATGCGCGACGGCCCAGGGAAAAACGCAATCAAGCAAAAGGCGCTCAAAGTCCTCCAGCGTCGCAAAATGTACGAGTCCCAACGCGACCAGCTCCAGTCCCAGGTCTGGAACATGGAACAGGCGCAGACGATGCAGGATAATCTCAAAAACACAATGGCCACCGTCGACGCGCTCAAGACGACCAATAAAGAACTCAAGAAGCAGTACGGGAAAGTGGATATTGACAAGATTGAGAGGTTGCAGGATGAGATGGCGGATTTGATGGATATTGGAAATGATATCCAGGAGAGTCTGGCAAGGTCGTATGATGTGCCCGAGGACGTTGACGAGGCGGAGCTGGATGCCGAGTTGGAGGCGTTGGGGATGGAGGCCGAGTTGGAGCCTGAGATGGGTGCCATGCCGAGTTTCTTGCAGGAGGAGTTGCCCGAGTTTGTGGACGAGGAGCCGGCCAAGGAGGGTGCCAAGCTCAAGGAGGCTGCTGGCTAATGTGCTTGTAGTCACCTGGGAGCTTCGTGTGGGAAAGGAGACAGGGAATAGATAGGAGAGAGCGATGGCTGACTCTTGAAGAGTTTCGTTCTCGGCGTAATGGCATACCTCATATCCACTTCTTTACAAGCACCAGTTACAGACCGATGATTATTTGTGTTCATAACTCGAATTCACTTCTTCTTGTTCCGAAACTCCTATTCTTCCCAAAAAATAAACCAATGAGCCCCCCCTCTCCCTTTACAATTCGCTATGCCGGTGATGCTGCTGCTGCTACTACTACTACTGCTACTCCAACACGCCACATCGTCAGCCTCTACTCCACCGTTCCAAAGAACCGCGAAACCTCTTCCAACTCCGGGTCATTGTTGCAAAAGTCCCAGCCCACAATGACACTCGTCTGACTACAACAAATGATCCTGCGGGCGTCGTATTGCAACTTGAATACCCTCGCCGGGCCGTTGTCGCCGTTGGCAATGTGCGGGTGGTGTGCCGCGTCCGGTACAGGGTTCTGCGCGCCTTGTACTGGCACCGGCGTCGCCTGAGTCTGAACAGGCGCTCCCGGCTGCGTCGGCTGTGCTGGGTTCTGACCTTGTCCCTGGATGTGCAAATGCCCCTGCACCTGGGGCGTTGCAGGTCCAGCGGCGGGTCCAGCGGCTGCGGTAGCGGCGGCAGCGGAGGCCGCAGCTTCTTGTTGTTGTTGAATCTGCATCTGCGGCCGGACAGCTTGTGTCTGCAGACTGGCAGAAGTTGGCTGATGCTGAACTGGATGGTTTGACGGCGGCGCGAATCCATTCATGGGTGGCAGCGCTGGCGGGACAATAGTTTGGGCCTCACGGTTCGCCACGAGGCTGCGCGACTGGTTAAGCTGCGTCTCCAAAAGGGCGGCATTGAGCACATTTCGGAGGTCGGCTCTAATCCGCGGGTTTGGTTCTCTGCCAATAGCGGCCTGGATGTGTGAATTATACACCAACATTGTCGGGTAATGGTGCAAAGCCTGGCGCAGCTGCGTCGGTCCCCGAGGCACAACAGTGTCAATCAGGTTCATAAAAGCCTGGGCCGAATCGGGCGTGATGGTGGCGATAATGGGATTGTCGATCGTCGTCCTAGGAGATCCCGTAGACGAGGAAGATCCCCGAGTGCCGCGCACCGTGGAGGGTGAGCCTGCCTCCAAGTTTGCCAGCATTTGTTCTGCCGTGAGCTGCGAGGCCTTTCTCGCCGCAGCTTGAGCTTGACTTTGGGCTGCCGCGGCTCCGTCTTCCTGCCGCAGGTGTTGTGTGTCCTTCCACACGCCCTCTTTGTCACGGCGCCAGATGATGATGCCCTGGTCGTAAGACCCAGATACGATGCGAGCGTACTTGCCGCCGCCGCCGCCGGGAGGAAGAATGGCACCGTACGCCGTAATATCCTCCGGGCGTTGACTGCCCGCGTTACGGGCCTGGGCACGACCACGGCGGCTGCCATGGTCGCTAAAAGGGCTGACGACTCCATCAGCTACCGCCTTAAAATAGATCTCGTCGATCCTCTTGGCCTCGGCCTTGTCCTCTTCAGCGCTGTAAGGAAGATCGCCAAAGCCGGCCTGGACCGTTCGCACAAGGTTAGTGTGCGCGCGCAAGCTGGCGACTTCGAGACCCGTGAACCTGTCAAAGACCTTGACCTCGTTGTCACTGCTGCCACTAACAATCCTCCGACCGTCGTACTGCACGCAGGCAATGCCCTTGCTATGGCCAACGACTGTCCGGATACAAACCTGCTTGGTCCAGTCCCAGACCTTGATGTTTCTGTCGCCGCTCGCTGACACGACCTCGTTGTCATGGATCTGGACGGCATTGACAGCAGCCCCGTGCCCGTCAAGAGAGCCAATCAGGCTGTACGGGGGCTTGATGGGCAAGTCGTCCATGGGGTTACCGTATCCATAGTCTCTGAGGCGTTTCGGGGCGTTGAAGACGACATCGCCGTCACCGTAACCCGGATCTCCGTACTTGAGTGGACGGCGGTTGAAGATCTTGATGGTCTTGTCCTTTGAGCAAGTGACCAGAATCCTCTTGTCGAATTTGATGTTGAGAACCGACTCGGAGTGGGCGTTCTTCAACCTTTGAATCATTTGCCCTGTTGAAAACTTCCACAAAATAACGTTGGAGTCACTGCTCCCAGAGACAATCAAATCTTCGTCCTTATCCGCGTCGAACTGCAAACAGAGTACGGATCCAGTGTGCCCTTCCAGAGGCGGCCTCAACAAGCGCTGGGTGTGCAGACTCCAGATACGAAGCGTCTTGTCGCGACTACCGCTCACAAGGTATTCGCTATCGAATTGCAGACTGTAAATGCACTCTTGGTGACCCTCTTGCGGGTGATCTGGATGGGGCAGCTGAAAGTTGGTATACTTTCCGAGCTCCCAATTCTGCTCCAGCCGGTGGCGCATCGTGTACAGGTACTTCCAGTCGAGCCTGTACCGTCGGCTAGGTGCGTCCCATGACCAGAGCGACGACCGCGCAATTCCTCCTGGCGCGTCGGCAGACATCATAGGAGGCAGCGAGTCTTCCTTGACCAGAGCCGCCCGCAGCATGGGCGACGCCTTACCCTTGCCCTTAATGTCGAGACCGAAGTTTCGCTCCGCGCTCCGTCGAGTAGACCCCGAAGCCGACCGGTCCAGATCCATCTCTCCGTGTTGCGGTGTAGCTGAACTCCGAGAGAAACCGAATGACGAGGCAGGGCTACCAAAGATGCTGTTACCCATAATGGAATTCATTGAATCTTCTCGGGTGATTGATGACCCAGCGTCCGTCATCTCGAGGTCGTTGTCTTCGGATATCGCGCGCTTCTTGTGCGTGTGGCCGTCCTCGCATGATCGAACCCTGTGGAGGGAACTGGGTGATTGGTTCTGGGGTTTGTTCGCATCTTCTTCCCACTTATTGACTTCCGAGTAAATGGCCTTCCAGCCCTCCATATGGTATAGCTTCTCCCATAGCTTGCGGTCGAGGGCCAGCTCGTGCCAAGCGTGGCAGGCCTTTGCGACGTTGATGAGGGAGATGGGATCGAGGTATCCGAGAATCTTGAGACAGACTTCTGTTGGCAAGTAGTGGACAAAGTTGATATAGATGCGAGGGTGTAGACGCTGGACGATTTCGACAACGGCTGAGGTGGGTAGCTGGTCAAGAAGGGCTATGGCAAGCTCTGTTCATTCGGCGGAGAAGATGTCAGCTGGGTCCCCAAGGACATTGAGCAAAGCACAGCGAATAACTGCTGCTGCTGCCACGTCAGAGAGGCAATGTGAACATACCAGTCTTTTCAGCTGCTGACAGGCCGGGGAGATGCTGAGCAAGCCAGGCGGGCAGGTCTGCGGGTGGGCGAGAGGCCGAGACATCCTGAGCGCCGCTGAAGCTGGGGTTCAGAGGGTCTTCAGAGTAGCCCTCGTCGGGCTGTTGTGAGGTAAAGGCAGACATGCTGGGCGAGAGTGTATGGGGTCGAGGTGTACGGAGATGTCGCGCAGAACTTGGTCTCTACGGCTCTTCTCTAATGGTGAGGTATGCGCAGTCGCGGGCCATGCGGGCGAGGGGTAGAAGAGGTTCGTGCTCGGTCGCGAGGTGGACTACAATCGATTGGCTTCTAGTGGATGCTTCGTCGTGTGGCTGCCGTCTTCGCCGTCGTCGTCGTCGTCGTCGTCGTCGTCTTGGGCAAGAGGATGCAGCGAGAAAGGTAGGTGAGACTGTAGGCGGACTGATATCCAGGAGAGTCTTTGGGCGACGTGATGCAAGGCGGCTAGGATTTCTTCGATGGAGGGGGTTTACGTATTGGTGGGTGATGCAATGGTAATGTAGAATGCTGTCTTAGCTCTGTCGCATCCGACCTAGAACAAAGCAAGGAATGCGGATAGTTGTGGCGTGAATGCTGCAAGTGTCGATGCAACGGGAGAGCAAGGCACCTCAGGCAAAAGAGAAGATGAGATGGGACAGAGTGGGGGGTGGGAAAGTGGTGGGATTGAGATTTGGGACTGAGATGGAGAGTTGGATTGGGGAAAGGGTTGGTTGGATGATGTTGAACGTTTGGTTTGGATGTTTGGATGCTTGACCGGGGGGGGGGGGCGGCGCGGCGGGTGGAAATGCAGCGGGTGCGCTTGGCCGTTGTTGGTTGAAGAGGATGCCGTGAGACTCAGAGAGGGACAGACGGGAGGTCTGGTGAGGTAAGCAACCTAACGATGATGCAGGTAAGCAATGGAAGCAATCCAGATAGACTACTTCGTACTCCGTACACTGGCAGTGGAGGTGAGCAAGGTGAGAGCAAAGCACGGGACAAGGTGACGAGGCAGCGGAAAGGCGGAAGGCAAGATGCGGCGGCGGCGGCACACGGGCGGTAAGGAGACGGGGAGCCTTGGAAAGCCAACCTTGAAGTAAGGTGGGCACTGGGCGGGGAATAAACACTGCAACATTTCAGACCGGGGAGTCACTCACCTCAACTTTCTACACAGTAAAGTCACGCTTGTCTTCTTGTAGCCTGGAAAGCCTGCTTTTGGTCCCTTGAGGTTACCTCAGCCTAGGCCATTGGTGATCGATTTAAGAGAGGAGAAACAACGCAAGACAGCAAGCCAACTGCTGGAAACTTGGCCAGCTACGGATACCTTATGCAAACGAGTTTTAGCAGATTCTCTAGCAGAGGGCGGAGGTGGCGGGATGGGATGGGGACGATGGAGACATGGACGGGTCCGGCGATTATCACTTTTCCCTGTTCTCTATCTCTCTGTCAGCTGTGTGCTGTCTATTCCCATATTACTCCCCAAGTCTGTTAACGTATGCTGATCAGAGTTATTGGCTAATATCATCATGGCATTCTATTCCCCCATCCCCTCGTAATCTTCTCACCATTCTCATGATTCTCACCTCCAACCTCCCACCCTCTTCTCCTCTCGCAGGCATGGCGGGATACACTGAGTAGATGTGGACATGCAAAGGACAAAGTAGGCAAAGACCGGCAGGCAAAAATAAGCCGCAAGTACGGATACAAGGGGGGGGGGGGGGGGGCTAAACAATGCGGAGCGACCACCGGCCGCGTGAGTCTGCCGCCACGCCCGTCCACCGCCCGCATTCCTCTGTTACTCACTCTGCATTCCTCCTACTTTAAGGAAGCAAGCTACGCTACGGGTACGGCTTTATGCGGTCGAGCCGCGCCATACACCGAAGCCGCCGCACCCTTCTTCCGTAAACCGATCCGGGGGAAAAGACAGCTCGCGGGATAGCACGGGACTAGGACCTTACGAACTATCCTTCAAGCTGCCGTGAGGTAGAGATTCCCCCGCTCTCACTCCCGTCTCATTCCCACACTCTCCCAACGTTCCCTCCCGCATCGCGCCTTGCCTGCCGCCTTAACTGCACGAAATACAGTAACTCTCGTACAAAGACCCGCAAATGAGCAGCAACGGGTGGCAAAAAAAACCCTCGGGAGGGGCTTGGGTGGAGTGTATCCAGTTCCAGTGCCAGCTATGCCGGCAAAGCAGAAAGCAAGATTCAAGAAACTCATCCACTCACTTCAAGCTCATGGGAAATCCTAGGTTGGCACTGGCACCGTTGGGCAAAGGTGTATGTGTATGTGACACATGTGTGCATGTCCAGATTTAGACATTTCCCGCTGCCGGCCGACGGCTTGTCCTGCACTTTGTTTTCATTCCACACCATACCTAGCCATGCTCAAACGCAGGTCAAGATCTCATCACTTAGCATCCAGCATAGAGATGTGATTTGTATCCACGGATGAGACATGTCTATATCTCACAGATTCCGAGATCATAATCGATCTCAAACTCATCCTTCTCATCACATTTTACACTCCAACTTGCTGGGAAATAAACATGGCCATCCGTCGATATCAAAAGCTATCGCCTCAACGCCTCAATGGTTATACCTCACACCCGCAGATACCGTTTTAAGCTCATAACTCAATCGCCCAAGAAAGTTAAGTCATGCTCTTGATGAATCTACATGACAGGACAGGACCTACGATTCCCGTCCCCATCGGCGCCGACTTCTCCATCGAACAACAAGTCCCATGTTCCCTCTTTCCCCCCTCCTTCACCCTCATCAGGCTATCGAGGCTGGTCTGGTTCATCGCAACTTGGAACGCTGATCATATGCCGAGACTCGGCTCCAGCTCCAAGGTTGTTTTCAGGCATCTTGGCTTTCATCATTGTCCGGTGGCATAAAACGTCTTTTTTTTTCTTGGTAATAAACCCTTCCCAGGGCTGAGATACTTACCGCGCACTATATCATCATTCATTGACTAAGGTACTCAACGAATCTGAGAGAGCAGAAGCGGCGAGTAAGTCAAATCATGGCGCCGACTTCCCGCCGTTTCTCGCCATTCATCTCCAAGGTTCCCTACATATCTGGAAGGCGAAATGAAGGACAGGCAGAGGATTGAGAGGCACAGAGAATAAGTTACACACACCTGTCACTGACACGTGTACAGCACAGATCGGCGGCGGCGAACATTCCGCCCTGATCAATACTTTTCCCCCCTTTCTCTTCTCTTCTCTTCTCTCATTCGCAACCTAAATGGGCCAATTCTCGGTCCTACCAAGAAAGTCAGTGGAGATGATCACTTTGCCGGTTCAGCCAGCTCAGCGCGCCCAGCATGCTTCCGCCCTCCCCGTTGAGCCTCCGGAAACTCGAAAGTGACAACGCCCTGTCCGGGTACCCGCATGGCTGCGCCTATCTTTCAAATGCTCCGTACTGGAAGCACGGCAAGGCACTTCAGATTCTGGACAAACACGAGGGATCTCCCATCGTGATCTTCAGAGGGACTCTCCTGACAGATGCAGGGCGAGTACGCATAGAGGTAGCAGGAACGTTGTCGCACATAGCAAAAGACTCCAATCAGCAAGCCGACTTGGCTTCAAAAACTTTCCCATCCGCTCGCTCTGCCCCGTTGGCGGTCATGTCGCACGAAACTTTTCTCACGCACGCCCGCTGTCCGGAGCTGACCTTGCCAATTCTCCAGAAAAGCTCCGGTTAGGTTTCTTTGGTGTTCGCCTCTTCTGCACGTCAGCCCGGGACTCCCCTCTCTGAATACTTGCCTCTGATTGCCTCCGAAGGCGGGTATGACGTTGTTTCTCTAGAGATTGCTCGTGTAAGTGCAGGTGTGTCATTGCCCGGGCGCATCGAGTCGCGCACAAGATCACGAGGCGACGCCAATGATCTGATTGTTTCCCGAACCGCGACGAGTCAAGTCAAGGCATGCTGTATCCGTAGAAACACAGGTTCCGGTCGAACACTTTCTCAGAATCCCAAGCTTTGCCTGTTTATGAATAACGGACAACCAGAACAAGGCGAAAATGAACCCCAACCGTCAGTGCAATGAGTTGATAACCGGCCTAAAGTGATTTTCCGGGGTACTTCGGCTTTTGCTTGGATCCACAACGACTCCTACGGTCCCTATTCGTATCCGTACGACCCAGTCCTACCAATTAAGGGATGGGCCGCGAAATGTGCCGTGGTCTGCGTGGGTGCATGCACGAGAGATTTGTCCCGATAGACTATCCCCAGTTTGTCCATCCTTTGTGAGCCTCAGCCCAATGGTGACATCTTGGCATCCACCACAAAGACCGCGGGAGGGTAATCCTCTGCTGTCACAGATCCCTAAATGTCTTTGTACTGTCTCGTCTTCAAACAATTCTCTGGAAAAAAACAAGCAACGGGCAAAGAAGACCCGGGTGCCACGGCTGATCGCCATACTCTTTGGCGGCGTCTGCTGACCTACGAGAGGCATAAACTGTGCAGCCCAGACGCATCGCATCGGTCTTGAGCTCTCCAGCGGCCGCCGAGTCTCAACCATGCCGTCTTGAGACGGGGCCGGTGTTCATCATCAAGCCACCGAAAACGCCTCTCGCTCCGAGCAGCTCGCACCACCGCCCCAGCCCGGACCGCCCAAGCCGAGAGTGAGACGCACCGTTGAAGCCTCCAAGCCTGGGGCTGAGGTGGTCAACTGCGATACTAGGCTTGCATTTTCTTTCTTGTGCAGGATATGCGCATGGGAAGCAACAAGGACGAGCGCCATGTCTGGTATTTGCAGCCCATTCCACAAAGCAGAAGAGGCACGAGAGGGAACTTGAAGCACACTGTAGCGCATGGTGAAGGGTAGAGGAACTTGCCCGGGACGCCCTTCGTACGGAGTGGATTCCGCTCGCCTTCCTGGAGGCTGGCCGCCGTGGCCCCTGTCGGCAATCCCTTGCAAGGCGTTGGTTGAGTCGTCCAGAGAATCCCAAAATAATTCGTCATGTGAGGCTCCCGTTGTTTCCTGGGCCTAGTGGGATAGCCTACCAGATGCATGAAGATGGTGTTTCAACGTCTTTGACGTGTTTTGGTCAGTCCATGGAGGGTGGCTTGCCGGGACCTGATCCGCGGTTCTGGAGCCAGGACTTGGCTCGCAGGGAATTAGGTTTTCTTTGGGCCATGGAGCTACACAGGTAGCAACGACGGTATGCCCTTCAACGGGCGGTCGGTAGCCGTGTGCCCGGACAGACTGACAGCGACAATTGCAGGGTGGACGTCGTCCTCGATAGCGACGTGTAGGTTGAAAAGACCCTGAAGAGGCACGATGGCAGAGTCAGAAGAGACCAGGATGGCAGTGCGAGGCTGCACGGCGCAACGTCCTGTCTGCGGCGTGAGAGCAGGGTAGTTCCGTGCATTGGAGCATCGAAACAACAGATGGGTGGGAGACGCTCATGCACTTGTCTGAGAACCCATCCACCGATATCGTCTGTGTGCGTGAGAACGTGTGTGTAGGCATCTGTCGGTCGGGCGGCTTAAAATACTGACGGGCAGCATACCTTGGCACAGGGGTCTCTAGAGAGTGCGAGAGGGGACCATGGGTTTGTATTGTTCCTAGCAGCCGGCCGCACAAGATGTGGTCAAAGCCTGCTAAGAGAAGACGCACTTGCGATATGTGCAGCAGGCTATACGGCGGGCGAAGGGGGGAAGGCCCGAAGGGTGCAGACACGACCGGATGGCTGTGCTCCAAGGCGCCTGGCGCATCGTTAGTTTCAATGTTGGGAGACCAACCGCGATAGACTGACTGCGACTGCAACGGCAGCTGTCGATCGATGCAGGCTGGTCGGTCCTTGTTCGGGCCCTGGCCGAGATGGCAAGTTGCTGCTCAGAAGTAAGGTGTCGAGGTCAGTTTGTCGAATGCAACCCCCAAGAAAGGGAATATGCAGCATTAAGGACGGACTGTCGCCGTAGAGGATGTTGAAGAGATGGTTAGGATATCTTTGCTCGGAGGGTGCACGAGGGGTCAGGCAGATTTCGGCTTCGAGAGCGCAGGAAGGAACCCTTTTTTCTCGATGCCTTCCCACCTTCCGTGCTTCCCCGGGCCCACGGGTGTCTTATCGGAGCAGAAGCTGGTGGGTTAGCTAAGCCGAGACGTTTATCTGTACGTACTACGAGATACCGGTATTGCTGATGTGTTGTTCCGGTACCTCTGCTTTTGGTAGACAATTTCTCTGCAGACCACCTTGGCGAGTAGTTACCCAAGGTGTCGAGCATCTCACGGGATAGATTTGCATCTCCCATGTCTCTGACTGATTCTGACTGAGCAATACAAATCATGTTGGATTCAAGTGGCCTGAGGGGTTTGGACCAACAAGTGGGCAGTCGGCTCATTGTCCAGAGCAACCATGGATCTATCGATTTCTGTAGCGGGGGAACGAAGGGCCCGGCAAGCATGTCGTGCAACGAGTACCTTGCAGACGCGATGGGGGGGGGGGCATGGCAATCAACCCGACACGGGCTTGAAAGACGAGCATACGAATACATGCAGATGCTGTAGTGTACTGATGCTTATATGCTGGCTCAATGATTTCTGCCACCGGCCAAAGACAGCGTTGGATTACGGTTGCTAGACGGTGCAGATTACAGAGTGTTATTCGATAGGTACTTGATAGTGGATGGAGTAGGGTACCTCTTGCGTGACCCCTCCCAGGAAAGGCCCGTTTCCTCCATGCTCGTCATTCAGGGCATAACAATGACAGCCGTCAGAGAAAAGGACGCAGGATGCGGGACACGGGACGGGCAGAATGAAGGATGCGCTCATGACAGTCAGTAGGTAATCAACAATCCTCTCTAGTGATACATTCTCTACTACCATCATGCAGTTTAGATGGGAAGTAAGTTTCCAGAGAATTGCGTGTATCGTCGAGTCTGCGTGTGCTTCTGCCACCCCGGTCTATCCGTACCCTCCATTTCGAGTTTCCCCTATCTTTGTTCCATCGACCTTCTCGAACAATGCAGTGCCGGCCCAGTAGATTCACGGATGTGTCCAGGTCTTGTGTTCCTCTGTCTCTTGCTTGAAAAACCCTCCCCCCTCCTCTTTGTCAGTCCGAGTGCCCTCCTTCCTGTATGCCTCGAGACTTGCCCGCTCCTTGTCTCCAAGGATCTACGGTGTCTACATTCGCTATGTCCGTGATAAAGATCTCGATATTTCCTGTACGATGGTGTAGTTATGGAGGGAACAGATGCTGATGCTTGATATCGGTCTTCCTAGCCAGTGACGTAAGGTACTCACGATGCCCCCATTCCCCAGGTAAGTACGGGTACCTAAGGTAGGTATTCCACTCCTTCCCCGTCGAGGCTTGCCCTGTACTCCGTAACTACCTTATACCTCTGGTTATTGAGTACGTATACTTTGCACATGATGGAAGGCTGATGGGATCGCAGTACGTACCGAGCGCGTGCACCACGAGGGCAGGTTCAATCAATGGGAGACGTGGATCTGTCCACTGCGACGGGAGACCAGGCCCAATCAAGACTAGCGCAATCACCCGCTAATTTGAAACGCCCAAAAACCTCCATCAGATCAATGCGGCCAACCTGAGGCCGCTTCTCCACCACCTTACAGTACCGCGCACTCGCAGTTCGTTGTACCTCTCCCACTTTGTGCCTCTTTCTCTCTCTCTTCTGCGGCTTGCCGTCTGTTTTTCCTCAGTCTGCCCATCTTCACTGTGGTGGGCTACGGATACGGAGTACAGTTCCAACTTTCCCCTCAAAGGCTCAAAGGACGTGGATCCGAATCTATCATCCTCAGACCCCTCAGCCCAACCCATCCCACCCGCCCACTAATACCACCACCACTATCCGTACCCATTACCCACATCCTTGCTCGTGCTGCCAATACCTTACTCTAGGGCCCCAGGCAATAAGCAGAGCACGGGCGACGAGACGCTGGACCACATTGGACCACATTGGACCGCAACAGTCCACTGGAGCTGGGAACTGGGGACTGGAAACCCGACCTGGCCGGCCTGACCTTTCCCAAGCAGGCCGAAGCAACCAAGCCCCCAGTCTATCCTGTCCATCTCAGAGACTCAGGCGCTTCCGCACTCTGTGTCCGAACGAATAGTGCAATCACCATCTCACTACGGAGTACCTTACCTTACACAGTAGGTATCTCTCTCCCTCTCCCGTTCCTCTCGGCCTCTCCCCCCTCTATCTTTGCCTTTGCAGCTTGACTGTGCCTGTGCCTCGCCTTACCACCTTTACTTTGGCTTTACTTCTCCCCTGCTTCCCTACGGATACACTTGGACTTGGTACCTAACCCAGCCCCCCTCCCCTCCAGGTTGAATCAAGACACACCCTCATGCACGCCAACTACATCAGCCTGCGTCCTGCAACAGCGTCCCCAAATTCAGCGACAACTCCAACCTCGATTTGCAATCCTTCGTTGGCAACACTTCTCAACCGACACCTCTCAGTCTAAACCACGACCAGTTCGCAACAACTCGCTCTCGGCCCACGAAGCCTGTTCGAGATATACGCTATCGCCCACTACTAGCGACACCTAATAGGAGGATCAAGGACCAGACAGGGGTCAAAAAGGCAACTCGTTTCGCCCCGATAGCCCGCCTCGCTCCGCACCGCTCCGCAACTTCGACTCGTCGACTCGAAAAACAGACCCGCCCGACCAGCCCAACCTCCCTCCTCCACCGACTCTCGGCGCCGGCACTTCTGTCTCACACACACACATACGCAGTACTCTCTCTCACTCTCTCTCGCACACGCACACGCACACCCCTTACACGAAGAGATCCCTATTACTCCTCGCCATCCGCCTGTTCCAAGCCCAAGCAAAACGCACTGAGGGGGCTACTCGATCACCACAAGGGGAGGAAATACTAGAGTCCGAACGCCCATTGCTTAAACCCCTTGTTCTCATTTTCGCCCTCCAAGAACAAACACGCCCTTTTCCGACGACGAGAACCTTCCCGACGCCCACCGCTACATTGTCGCTTCTCCTACTCCGCCCAACCACCGATACTCCTGATCCCGAGTCCACTCGACCAGACCGACTCTCGAGAGCCCCGGTGCCGAATGACGTGACCCTGTCTTCGACATAGACACAGGGTCAGGAATCGCTTCATCGAGCCTCCACCGCCTCGCCCCTCGCCCCTCGCACGATCCTCGACCGTCGTCGTCGTCGACCATCGTGTCCTTACATCCTCTCCCCTCCATTCACCGGATGGGTTAGGACGTCATGGCTCATGCTCCTCTCCTCAGAACACAAACGGCTCCTGTATTCCAGCAATCCAACGGAATTGGCGGCCTACCCAATACCATGAGTAATGCGCCCCGCGCCAGCCAGCTTTCCGGCTCGACAGCGTACACATCCTCCGGCTCTCTCGCCTCCTTCAATAGCGCATCCACGGTGACGCCCCCGCAGAATGGAGGTCCCGTCCAGGCCACGGCCAACATTATCAACCAAAAGGCCGATGCCTCGCGATCACTTTACCAGATTTGCATGTCGTTGAAGCAGCGATTATCACAGGTACCTGGCTTCGACCCCTATCTGCAAGAGCTAGACCCCAACGACCCTGTCGAATCACTGTGGGCCCTGTTCCGCACCGGCTATCCGCTACTCGATATCTACAACGCCCTACAACCAGCGAAGCCCCTCGAGATAGAAGGCGCGAATGCCACTGCAAGCGACAGCAAAAAGGCAAAAATTGCCCTCTTCAAATTCATTCAGGCGTGTCTAAAGGACTTGGGTATTCCGTCAGCGGAATGCTTCGTCATCAGCGACGTACTAGGAAATGACACGACCGGTTTTGTCAAGGTATGCGAAACGGCTGCTACCCCTCTGGCATGGTGACTTCGGCCTACAATCGCCATCGACCATATAACTTGAGAATGACCCCAACTGACCTCGTCTTAGACCACTCAAGTCGTCAATTATGTCCTCGACATCGCTGAGCAACGGGGGCTTCTCCTGCAGCTCCAGCCTTACCCCGAAGACGATCTTCCACTTGAACCAGGCTCCAAGCTGAGCTACCGGGATCATATCGTGAAGGAACTGGTGGACACGGAGCGGAAATATGTGCAAGATTTGGAGAATCTCTACGACCTCAAGAGTAGTTTGGAAACCAAAGGAATCATCACTGGCGACACCATTCATCAGATCTTCCTCAACATCAACGCCATCCTCGATTTCCAGCGCCGATTCTTGATCCGTGTAGAGACGACAAACTCCATGCCCAAGACTGTACAGCATTGGGGTGCCCCATTCGTCACATACGAAGACGCATTCGACATTTACCGTCCCTTCATCGCCAACCAGCGCAAAGCAGCACAAGTGGCCAACCAAGTTTTTGACCAGATCAAAGCTAGTGGGCATCCTGTGGCCGCAGATTTCAACACCTTGGATGGCTTCCTCCTCAAGCCCATGCAGAGACTCGTCAAGTACCCTCTGTTGTTGAAGGACTTGATGAAAAAGAGCGAGGATGAGGATATCAAAGCCGACCTAGCAGGCGGTATCGAGTCCGCAGAACGAGTTCTCTCAAAGGCCAACGAAGAAGTCAACCGGGATCTCTTGGACGAGGCCCTGGATGACTTGCGAAACCGTGTCGACGACTGGAAGAACCACCGCGTGGAACAATTTGGCAGGTTGCTGATGCACGGTGTCTACACTGTCGTAACCGGAAAGAGCGAGCAAGAAAAGGATGTAAGTGTTGCCCTCTCTCGAAGAAGCAGTTCCCAATCAGGATCATACGCTGATTTCAATAGTACGAGATTTACCTCTTTGAATGCATACTACTCTGCTGCAAGGAAATTTCAGCGAACAAGAGCAGGGACAAGAAGGATAAGACTAGGTCTACCGGACCCAAGATCAGGAACAAAAATGCGAGACTTCAGTTGAAGGGCAGGATCTTCATGACGAACGTAACTGACATCGTCTCTCTCGCAAAGCCTGGTATGCGGCGGCATTAACCCTTTCCCTAAACTCTCGATCGCTAACCAAGCCACAGGATCCTACATTGTCCAAATCTGGTGGAAAGGTGATCCTGGCGTGGAGAACTTCATGATCAAATACACAAACGAGGAGCAGATGAAGAAATGGGCCGTCGCCCTTGAGGCGCAACGTAAGGAGAACACGCCCAACAAATCTGCTACAAGCCCCGATTCGGCAGCACCCGACTTTGCCTGGACCCGCGAAAATGCTGGCAAGCTTGAGAACCCGTATCTCAACCAGCAAGACGATGACGATGACGAGGAACTATGGCCACCCGCCTCTGCCCCTGCTCAGTTTCCCATGCCGACTCAGTCGACAGGAGGCAGCATGTTGCCTCGCAATGCATCGAGCACAAGCCTGCGGCAACGTGCCGCAACCAATGAGAGCCTTGCCGGCATGGTGAGGGCTCCGCCTCCTAGATTCCCTCTTCCGCAACCACCAGCGCCTCTCAGCCTCAC